GTGTGCCTCTAACCTCAGACCCTGATTTCACAAATATTGCTTAAGATGTGACTAAAATACACACTTAAAATTGAAGAGTAAGCTGGTTGGAAGAGAAATGTTTAGTAACAAGAGTTCAGTGAGCATCGGAGTGTGACACACACAGGCAGGTGACGGCAGCCATGTGTCCCAGGGATCCTAAGGCCCTTCCTGCCTGCGGGGGAGGGGCTGAGGGCCCCAGCTCAAAACACACCGACAGGTGCTGTCCCCACATTGATGGGACCCTAATCACCATAATCGGGGAGTTGGCGGAAGCAGCTGCTGTGGGGCAGCTAGAGCAAGGCCCCCCAAAATGGCAGAGGATGCAGTGTCCTCCTATGTGACCCTGGGGTGAATCACTGGGCGCTGAGTGGCCCAACTGAAGGCAGAAGGGCTTGGCCCTGGCAGAGAGGTGGCTCCAGATGGACCTGGATCTCCCTGGGGAGCTCTGCACCCCATCTCCTGGGGAGGAGCAAGGAGAGACCCCAGCCTCTCAATAAGCTCCTCTCTGATACCCACCTCGTCCTGGTGCTTGGGAGAGGACAGCCTGTCCTGAAGCCCTCAATGTCTCTGTCCTCCCAATGCCTGGTGTGAATCACAGGGATTTACAGCCCAGCCTGGAGTGGGATTTATGAGTCCGCCTCGAGCCCGGCCGCAGGGAGGGGCTGCCTGTCAGCCCCCCATTGCCGCTGATTGATGCTGCCGTTTCCTGCCAAGAATAACTCCCCTCCATGGAAGGCAGCACAGGGAAAGACTCCCAGGCCTGAGGGTCCTCGTCACCTGCCCAGTGCTGTATGCATCCCCATGTCTTCCCAGTCCACGCATTCCCAAGCTCCAGCCCCACACTGACAAGGAAGTAGGCAGTGCCTGAGCTCTGCACTCCCAGACCTGCCACTTTCACCCTTCTTCAGGGCCCTTCAAAACTGACTCAGGCTGGACATGGTGGCATGTACCTGCCTGTAGTCCCAGCACTCTGGAGGCTGAGGCAGGAGGATTGCTGCAAGTTTGAGGCCAGCCTGGGCTACATAGTGAGTTCAAGGCCAACCTAAACTACATAGCAAGACCCTGCCTCAGAAAAACAAAAATTAAAAAAATAAATAAATAAAACAAAACTGGGGCTAGGGATTTAGCTCAGTGGCACAGCGCCTGCCTGGCAAGCACAAGGTCGTGAGTTCGATTCCCGGTGCCAGAAATAAATAAATAAAACAAAACTGATCTGGACGCATAGGGGTGAGCCCCTCCGGTCTCCAGCCATCTGCAGGACAGGCGGGGAGGACCGGAGCTTGACCTCTAGCTGACAAGCCATTCAGACCCAGCCCTGCAGTACCCATTATCACCACAGGGTAGCAGCAGGCGCCAGACTAGGTCCAGTCGCCTTGTATCAGAACTCGGGGTCTCAACAGGGCGCTGCACTTCAGAGTGGGCACAGAACCCCGAGAAAGGAGGACCTGCACAAGGTCACACAGCCAGGGGCCACATGGCCCAGGCCCCAGCGTCCTGTCCCAGAGCCTGTGCCATGGCAGAGGCTGGAGGAGGGAAGACAGAGTCTGCTGACCTGAGGTGGAGCCCGGAGTGCCTATCTCCAGCTGCGTCCTGGATAGGCATCTGCCTCTCTGAGCCTCCCATGCCGGCACAGGGCAGTGCTGGACACAAAGCCACTCCCTGGTCCTGACGGGACCTCCACACCCAGGTCGGCTGGCCCTCCCTGCCGCTCGCTCTCTGGCCCCCAGCCCCTTCCCCGCCACACCTAGCCGTCCCCCTCCATTCCCGTCTCCTGTGGAGCCCCCACCCGCTGCACAGTGGCTGCTCGGGTGTTTACAGCCGGCAGCCACGGCTTTTTATTCCTCCCTTTGTCTCCCTTCCTCCCCTGAAGGCAAACACCACTTCCCATCTCCTGGGAAGAAAGGAGAGCTCTGTGGGAGAGGAACAAATAGAGATGCCTCCAGCCGTGGGCCTGTACACACCCACACACACACATGCACACCATGTGCACATGCACACTCGTGCACTCCCCCATCTGGCCTGAGCCTCCCGGGATGGCCAAGGCATTCAGAGTAATTGAAAATGTCGATCTTTATTCTGGAGCATACACAGGGCAGAGGGACCCCAGAGCGGAAGGAGGGGAGAGACGGGGAGAGGAGGATCAGGGAGGCCAGCGAGAGGAGAGCCCGGCGGAGGATGGAGGCTGGGACGCTGAGGACAGAGGGTGGTGGCTCCACCACCGCATCCACCAGGAGCGAGGACCAGGAGGTGGGTGCAGCCCCTGGTGGCCCTGGTGGCCCATTGCTGGGCAACAGAGGGGACCGGACTTGTCTTGGTGGGCAAAGTGGCTCCTACAGCCCAGGACTGGAGTCTGGACCCAGCGCCTTCACCAGCACAGTGTGCATGGGGGGGTTCCATGCACATGTGTGAAGGGTGTGTGTTTGTCCACAGCCCCCACCCATGCGCCACAGGAGTCCATGTGTCCCTGCAGACAGGGCCCCCATGTTGCTCCTGGCCTGGGGCCCCCCTCTTCCAGCTCCTGGGAACTTGCACGATTGGCCTTTGGGTTCCAGCAATGCAGAACCTCAGGCTGCCAGTGTCCCAGAGGGTCCTATGATTGCAGCTTTACTGCCAAAGCCATTTGTGCCTCCAGAGAGAAGGGAGGAAACCAGTAGGCCAGCTGCGCTCTGAGCCCCCACCCTCCAGTGACTGCTTCTTCTTCTCCTCCCATCAAGCCATCCCCTGGACTCTGGAGGCCAGTGGTGTTTGTTGAATGAATGACTGATGGTCAGGTCTGTGTGAATATGTGCCAGTTCTGGGGCCTAAAGACCTGCAAGAACAGATTCAGGTTCTAGAGGGGTCAACTAAGGGCTTCCTGCCAGGCCCGAGGAGGGGCCCAGCCACAGGATCAGGGTGTGCCTGACCTGGGGCAGGAGGAACTGCTTCACTGAAAGGTCAGCCCCGAGCTAGAACCCAGCTCTCATCCCATTGTCCCCATTCTGGCACTTCTTCCCTCTTCCCTTCCCTGGAGACCACAACCCCACCCCCAGAGACGGTCCATCCCTAGGGCTGTGTCCACTCCTACCCAGAGCTGGCAGCAGCAGGGAGGCAAGGTGTGTCCCAAATTGCCAACAATTAGGGTTTGTCTCAAGAGAAGTATCCATCCCCACAATGACCCCTGACTCGGGTCACAGATGAGCATGGACTGCAGTTACTTATGGATCCTTGTCCTGGTCACACACAGAGCCTAGACCTTTACTTAGAGACAGGTCATCAGTGTGTCACATGGCCAAAGTTATCTCCAGGTCCTGGGCCTCGGTTTCCCCATGTACGTAGCAAGGGCCTTGGCCTGGACTGGGGTTCCAAGGTGGCCCTGGTGACACAGGTCCCTCAGTTACCACCGCCTGCCAGCCCCTCCCACATCCAGCAGTTCAGCCCAAGCATCACTAATTGTTGCAGCTGCTGTGATAAATGGCATTGTCAGCAAAATGACATCTTTCTAATCGGCGGCGAGACAGATGGGTTCCCTGGTGCCTGCTCTCTCGAGAGCCTGGGCAGCCTGGCTGAGGACTGGGGAGGGACAGGATGGACACAAGCCCAGGGCCTGGGGACACGGTGGGGGGTAACGGCAGGACCCCAAGCCAGTATGGGGGGGGGATTTCTTTCCTAAATGTCAAACTGGGTTTAAAAATATATACATTCCAAAGCTCTTCTGCACTTTTCTGTCCAAACTCGGGTTTATTTATTCAACACAATCTTCATCTTCCATTAGAACCTGACTGTGGCTCACGTGTCCCAGGATGAGCCTCTCCGCTCCCGCGCTGGCTCTGAGATGGCCTTTTCTTTCAGCCTCCTGGGACAGTGGCTGCAGAAGGACCCAGCCCTGCCTTGGGCCACTGGGACTGGGGTCTTCCCACCACCTCCCTCCCTCCCTGGCCCATCTCCCCCTTCGTACGGTGTAAGGAGCTGGAGGGGGTTGTTTCCCAGGTGGGGCTGAATTGGGAATTGGGACATCGGGCATTACACAAGGACAAACAACAAACGCCAGCCCCTGTGTGACAGGAGGGCTGGCGCTGTCCACCCAAGGCAGCTGGCACAGCCCAGACTTGGAGATGGGTGGCACTGCCCCCTCCTGGCTAGCAGCTCTTCTGCCATCTGAGCTTCCACGGTGGGGACTAACAAGTGACCTCCCAAGGCAGCCCGTGGCCGTCAGCCCCTCCTGGCTGCCTGTAAGTCTGCACGTAGCCGGCGGGGAACGCCCACCTGGGCAGGCTTTTCTTCTGCCCAGAGCACCTTTGCCAGCGCTTCATTCGTCTGGCGAGGCTCTCAGAATGCAGCTTCCAGGGGCTGGGGATTTAGCTCAGCAGCACAGTGCCTGCCTGGCAAGTGCAAGGTCATGAGTTCGATTCCCAGTACCGGAAAAAAAAAAAAAAAAAAAAGAATGCAGCTTCCAAGCCACCCACGGCAGTTTGGCCTGGGACTAGCACCACCTCCTGCACCCAGGCCCTGGCCACTCTGACTCCTTGCCCTGTTTGCTGTCCCTCAGCCTCTGGACCCCTCTGTACACTTCTGCAGTCCCCTTTGTCTTCACCATTGCCCTCCTGCATGCAGTCTCTGCTTGTCCCTTGGCCCCCGACCAGAGCGAGGCTCTCCTGACTCTACCTGCTCCCCACTGCCTGCTCCTCCCTGGGGCATGGGCCACTGGCAGCAAGCAGAGCTGCACAGTCCTAGAAGTCGGGGAGCCTGGCCTCTTCCCACCAACCCTTGCTGCCCAAAAGCCCAGAGAGCAGCAGGAGTTGCAAAGGCCACACAGTGTGATGGGGCCGAGTCAGGAGGACCTCCGCTCTCCAAGTGCTACCCAGGCCATGGCCCCTGTGGGCTGGATAGGAACCCATAAACAGGAACCCATAAACAAGACCAGCATTCATCCACCCAGGACCACAGCCCTCCCCCCAGGCAGGGTCCCCAGGAAGCAATGAGACATCTGCAGAAGGCAGGAATGAACACACAAAATATTTATCTAATGCAGGCACCAGCTCTGCTGGAATAGAAAAATAACATCTGCAGGGCGGGAGGGCAAGCCGCAGGCTCAGTCTCTGATGTCCACCACCAGGGGGCACAGGTGGGCCGAGTGCTTGGTGCCCATGGTGAAGGCAGGCGTGCGGGGCTTGTGCAGGGTGACCCGCTGCACATCGTGGGAGCCGGGCCCGGGCCTTGGTGTGTGGTCCAGTGGGTAAGCGTGGCGCCGTGCCATGCTGTATGCTGGGCTGCGGTTCTGGTACACAGACGGCTCTGGCCGGGCATGTGCAGCCGGCCCAGGACCCCCAGCCAGGTTCTCCCGGTAGAACCAGGTCTTAACCGCAGGGGCCAGACTGAAGCAGGGAGCAGCCCGGCGGACTGGGGTGTTTGGCCCCAGCAAGAGGGGCAGCTGGTAGCAGTTGGGGGCTGGGTTGGGATCCATCACCCGGACTGGGCACCGGTAGCCAAAGCTGTACTGGGGAGCCCTGCGCTCATCAGGGGGACGGGTCTTCTCCAGGTTATAGTGGCCAGGGGCCGGTGTGGGGCTCAGGCCTGCAGGGGACAGGGGTGGGGAAGAGGCTCTGTCCCTGCACCCCAGCTCATGGGCCTGGGTCGGAGCTGAGGCCTTGCTTGGGCACCTCAGGAACAGGGAGGGGGAAAGTACAAGGTTACCAGGATAGCGACACACTTATCATGACATAAAAACCACCAGTGTCATCTTATCGTCAGCCTTGGGCTGTCGGTGTGGTGCCCTGGACCCAGGACAGCACAGGCAAGGATGCTTAGCGTGGGTCCTAGGTGACACACCATGACACAAAGTGAAGTCGTAGTGTGACATTGGCATCTTGATGTGACACTGCAGGGAGACACCTTCACCCACAGATCCACTCCCACTTTGCCCCTGCTTGGAACCCCCAGCCCCAAACTCCCCACCCCACCTCTGCCTGGCCCAGCTTACGCAGGCTGGTGACGCGGCTGTCCATGGGCACCTGCGGGCAGGTGGACATTCCAAAGCGGGTTATTTTAGGATCCAAGTAGTAGCAGGGCCCAGGGCTGCATATGTCTGTGATCCCTGCAGGGTGGTCACAGAGGGGCCGTCAGTAGCCTGGCCTCCTCCAGGCAAGACTGTTCCCTCCCAACGAGAGTGAGGGCTCTCTTCAGATTCCTGCACCCCTAGGGTGCTGGGCCCTTAACTTGTTCATCTGTGAAATGGGACTTTTATCACATGACCACTGCTTTGAAGAACTGGCTCAGGGGAACGGATGGAATAACAGCTACAGTGAGCAGTGCGGTCAGCCACCGATGCAGAGATGGTCAGAGATCAGAACAGATGATAATGACAGCCATGTGGTTATTGTTAGTACTGAAAAAGGGCCAGGCCAGGGAGTTCCCTGCCCCTCCCAAGGAGGGGCCCACCAGGCACCCGGACGTCAAGCCCAGCCTCTCCTCCTGCAGACTCAGGTCTGCATGGCCTCTGCTCCTCTGCCCTGGGGCTGCCACCCCCATCACGTCCCCACTGGCCCCAGACAGCACATGGTGTCCAGAGCAGAAGGGCCTCACTCTGCCAGCCAGTGCCAGTGTCCCTTCCTGGCCTCCTGGGGACATCTGCCTTGGGAGTTGGGCACTGGGGAAGCCTCCTTTGATCCCACTCAAAGCAGGCCCTGGCTGCCATGTCTATGGCCATGGAAGATGGCTCCAAGCCTCTCCTGTCCCCCAACCCCGAAGGTCACCCCGCCTCACGGCAGGCTGGGTAACTCGCTCACGCTTCTCGGAGTGCCTCTCATGCAGGGTGAATGCCGGCCCCCGGACCAGGGAGCTGTCGTGGGCCACATAGCCTGTGCACGATGGCCGTAGGTACTTGGCGGGCCCCGGACCTGGGAGGAAAGACAGGGCCCTGGTCAGAGGCAGGAAGCCCAGACCAAGCGCATCCGGGGAACATCAGGGTCTTGGCTCTTCCTGCCATGGCCGCTGAGTGCTCCAAAACCAAGTCCATCGAGCTGCTGCCTGGGGGAAGGCAGTGACCGAGGGGAGCGGCAACCTCCCAGGCAGGCGACTCCGCATCGAGTACCACGCGGACTTCAACACGGGCTACTCAGTGAGGCCCGCTGATCACCCTGTGAGGTGGAATATTCTTAATTTTCCTGCATTATAGATGAGAATATTGAGGCTCAGAAATATCAATCTTGCCAAGCGCAGTGGCACACACTTGTAATCCTAGCACTCAGGAGGCTGAGGCAGAAGGATCATCGAGAGTTTGAGGACAGCTTAGACTACATAGCAAGACCCTGTTATTAAAAAAAAAAAAAAAAGTAGCTCACATTGCTGGCCTTGAGTTTAGCTAGAGCCACAGGTCTCCCATAAGGCTTTGAGGGCATCATGCAGGGTTCATAGTGGGGCCCCCACCCCAGCAGGCCAAGTCCAGGACAGACGGGACGGCTCTCACCTCTGATCAAGGCCATGATGACTGGAGTCTGCTTCACCTCCTTCCTTGAGGGCAGCTTCTCCTCCTTTTCTGGGTGCTGGGCATAGAACACAGTGTTGCCAGCCCCCTTGGGCAGCCTCATGGCTGACGCTGGGCGCCCCTGCCAGGGACACGTGGGGGCTGGGCAGGAAGACGTCCTCCTCCAACTCCTCAGCGGCAGGAGCTGGTGACGTCACGGCAGAACTTGGACACAGAAGGCTGAGTGTTTATTTCCCCAGTTGCCGTGGCACCAGGCCGTGGCGTGGAATTCTATGCTTTGAGCCCAGTTGTGGAACCCTGGTCCCCAAGCAGGCTAAATGGCCAGGGTGTCCCAGGACCTGGGGTGAGGGAAGCGGGAAGGGACACCTGCATTGCTCCTTGCCCCAAGGGGTTCCCCAGGCTGTGGACAGAGTGGAAAAGGGAGCCTGGCCCCTGCCACCTGTCTCCCAGGTTTCGACAAGCCCTCTT